CCATGCCTAGACACTTTTTTAACCTTATTGTTATTAATATTGTTATAATCATTATTATTATGCTACTCAATAAGTAAGAATAGAATAGAATAGAATAGAATAGAATAGAATAGAATAGAATAGAATAGAATAGAATAGAATAGAATATATATCAGGTCAGTTGGTATAAATAAAGGTAAAATGTCATAAAGGTATACATGTAAATGCTCTTGAAAAATGATTACTTTAAGCGGTCCCACTTTATATTGTGTCTTTAACTACTATGTACTTACATAAAAAAAATAAATACAATGTACTAACTGTGTTTATAATGTATTTGAGAACACTTGTGGTGCTTTTGAGTTGGGATTGAGGTTGGGTCATGGACAGATTTAGTGGCATGGGTAGGTTTAAGGGTGGGTTAAGGTGTAAGGGATGGTCAACAGTGTATTTACAAATGTAATTACAAAAGTTAATTACAGATGTAATTACATACATGTATTTAATCAAGAATAAGTACACAGTAAATACATGTATTTACACAATAAATGCAGTGTAACAAACTATTAGTTCCTATGTAAGTTCATATTAAGGTCACTTTAAGCTAGTACTTTTTTATTATTATAATATTGAATATTTTATTATTATAATGTTAATCAGAATAATTACTTATAGAATGGGATTGTTGTTATCATTAGTAGTAGTAGTATTAATTTTATTATTATGTTACTCACAATAAGTACAAATGGAATAGAATAGAATAGAATATATCATGTCAGTTGTCTGATTTATCATTGTTAAAAAAAGGAAAAATGTTCTTGAAAAATTATTACTTTAAAGTATTACTTTTTTATTGTAATAATAAATATTTTTTATTGTAATGTGAATCTGGATAATCTCTTAAAGAATGGGGTTAATTGCTCTATTCATCTTTTCTTTGTCCCTAAACCAAATTAAATGACTTTATAAAATGATTATTTCTATTTTTATTTCTCCAAACCTATTTTTAGGACTCTACAACATCTGCAACAAAGTTCATGCACAGAAAAACTGGGTGAAAATGTGTTGACTCTGATTTATAATCTGTATTGTATAACCTGAGCTATAAAACAGCAACCACTAAACAAGAAGAAAAATCCTCAAGGGCGATAAAGCTGTAAAACTCCTCAAGACAAAAATAAACGCAAAAATCAAAGTAATGACAAATATAAGATGGTGACGGGGTAGAAAGCGGGATCTTCTCTGTCTGTCCTGCGCCCTGCGGTGTCCTGCCAGCCTTCTGTTGAGTCATGTGTCCTGCGGCAGGAGTAAATCTCCCTCTCCTCTCCGCAATCGCACTGACATACTGGATTACATAACTGAGCACAGCCCGAGGCCTCCATCTGAGCAAAGCAGACCAGACGCAGCATCTAATTACACTTTATGTAAAGATTAATTAATGCAGTCATCAGAAAGCCTTCCTTACCCTTCACTGTTTGTGTTATGTGCTTCATATGTTATCATAATATATAAAGATCTTTAATACTGTTCAATTGCAATGGAAGAAAATAAATAGTGTTTGTCTAAAATGTTAAAGCTAATTGAGTTAAGCTTACAAGTAATCTTAAATGGCATTAGATTAAACTTTAAAAAGTTTTTAAAGAGTTTTTAAAGAGTTATTAAGAGTTATTAACCCCCCTGTATATTCTGTTCCAAAATTTCCACAAGGAAGGAAGATTTTTTCAACACATTTCTAAACATAATAGTTTTAATAACTCATTTCTAATAACTGGTTTATTTTATCTTTGACATGATGACAGTAAATAATATTTGACTAGATATTTTTCAAGACACTTCCATACAAGTGACATTTAAAGGCTTAACTAGTTTAATTAGGTTAACTAGGCAAGTTAGGGTAATTAGGTACGTTATCGCATAACAATGGTTTGTTCTGTAGACTATCAAAAATATATATATTGCTTAAGGGGTCTAATAAAATTGACCTTAAAATGGTTTAAAAAAATTAAAAATTCTTTTATTCTAGCTCAAATAAAACAAATAAGACTTTCTCAAAAAATAAATACTCTGATTTTTTTTTTTTTGCTCTGTTAAACATCATTTAGGAAATATTTGAAATAAAACATCACAGGAGGGCTGATAATTTTGACTTCAACTGTATTTCTGAATGATTAAAGTGAAACAACTAATTTTATTAATTAAATTCACATTATGTTTATTTCTATAGTGTTTTTACAATGTAGATTGTGTCAAAGCAGCTTAACATAGAAGTTGTAGTAAATTGAAACTGTCAGTCCAGTTTTCAGAGTTGAAGTTCAGTTTAGTTTAGTTTAATTTAGTTTAGTTTAGTTTAGTTTAGTTTAGTTCAGTTTAGTTTAGTTCAGTGTAGTTTAAATTTCACTGCTGAAATTCAAAACACTGAAAAGCAAATGCATCGATGCTCAGCTCCACAAGTTCTAAACCAAGCAAGCCAGTGGCGACTAGGGATGGGACGATAACCGGTTGTAGGGTTTACCACAATTTTTAAAAGTCAAACCGCTTTTAAAACCATTAAAATGTTCTGAAATACTGTTTCTAAGGTAATTATAATTTGTTTTTTTATTTAACTGTTTTATGGAGTTTTTTATAGGGCAATAGTATATCCAGCAGAAAAGGACTCCAAGCTACTGGTCAGCCGTTGATTCAGGAAACATCTGAAAAACAAATCTCTTAGAAACCAACATCCAATCATGCCTTATACCTAGAAAATGGCTTACTTTATATCTAAAGAAAAGAAAGATATCCAAAGATGCCTAAAGTTTTAAGGAAAATTGTGTTTTTGAAACTAATGAAGTCAAGGATTTATTTTAGTTATTTAGCCTGACATGTTTACTGTCTCAAAATATTTAAAATGTTAAAATAAAATATATTTCAAATGGGAAAAAAGTTTTTGTTTTTGAGACGGGGAACAAACTTATTTTGATGAGGAACAAACTTTACCAGTTGACATGTGTAGAGCTGCAGTCTAGGCGTCGGAGGCTGACCTGTTAAGTTTCTACTGTAGTTAGGTTAACTTAAACCTGTTGTCTTGACTTGTTGAGAATATAATTGAACTACTGGCGTCAGTCAGAAGTGATGATATTTGAGTCAACCATGCCTGAATTCAGAATTCAGACAGTCAATCCCTTCAGATTAATGACAGTTGATGTTTTCCATCTAATCTGAAAATGCTTTGCTGATGGATTAACATGTCATCCATTAGAATGCATTTTGTAATCAGATTCATTCAAAACAAATAAATTATAGCATAAATGAATTTGCACAATTTTTGGTAGGAGATAAAATTGTCAGGAAATGATAATTTAAATTAGTATTATAATGTTGCATTGTTTAAAGAATAATAATTATCATTATATATCAGAGATGGCGATGCAGTGGCATAGTAGGTAGTGCTGTCACCTCAAAGCAAGAAGGTCGCTGGTTCGAGCCTCGGCCATGTCAGTTGGCATTTCTGTGTGGAATTTGCATGTTCTCCCCGGGTGCTCCGGTTTCCCCCACAGTCCAAAGACATGCGGTACAGGTGAATTGAGTAGGCTAAATTGTCCGTAGTGTATGAGTGTGTATGGATGTTTCCCAGAGATGGGTTGCAGCTGGAAGGGCATCCTCTACAAAAAAGCAAACTGAAATGAAATGTTAAACGTTGTTAATATATCATATTTATTTTATGTCACTTAACGGATAGAGATGCAGAAGACATTGGTGAGAAAATCAAGGCAAAAACTAGTGTAACTCTATTCTGTTACAAATGAGATTGTTTTTACTGTAATAGGTTCAATATAAAATGTAAAAAAAATGATGCTGTATTAACTAATATAAAGCAATGTTTTCTACTTATTTATAAATATTTTTAAATAAATTAGGAAATTACCCATGGCAACTATATTTACCTTTGGCCAATCAAGTTGGCATATGGCACTTCAAATTTAGGCACCCCTGTTATATAATAACATTTTAATATTGTAATATATCTACTGCTATGAAATCATGTGTTTTATTTTCAGCTAATTAACTGAAGCTACATACTGTATATAGAACTGAAATTGTGTTTGCATACTGAAGTAGATTCAATTTTAATTCAGAAATATTAAATATATAAAAATGTGTTACAGCTGTCAAATAAATATTTATCTTTTTCATTTAGCTGAACAACAACTGACACTAAAACATAAAGTAAAATATGTATGTGTATATGTGACAAAAAATGACTAAACAAAAACATTCATAAAAATAATAAACTAATTTAACAGACCAATTCCAAACGAATACAATTATGCTTTAAACTTTGCCACGTGTAGTGATTTTTGCTGTATTATTAAATACATTTGACCAGAGTAGAAGTAATACCAGCAATAATACCAAACTTAACCCTCCATATTCATCCCAATCCTACAATCTGCAGTCCCTCCACCCAGATGTAATGACATCATCTCTTATATAACCATCATACTCAGTGATTGTTTTAAGACTTAATATGTCGGTCATTTCGCAAGCATGCAAAAGCAGGGCAATGTCCGGAGCTAAACCAAGATTAACATTGATTCAGACGTTTTTGCTATAACATTAAAATCTCTCACAAACCTGAAAGCTCTTTGTGTGACTTATTTGCATTTAAATAGCTTTTTCCTATAGAAGCAGGTGCACAGTTAACTGAAAACTATTTAAAGACCTTTTCAACCAAACTTATTTAACATGAGCATTACTGTTAAGTCCATCATACGCTCTCTAACACTGTCAATACAACTAAAAAAGCAGGCATTTTTAACCTAAATCCTCTCCTTTTCCCAACCCGCCCAAGTCTGTCAGGCATTGTTTCTCTCTTAGGCAATCCATGCCTTTGGGAAGATAACACTGGACTGCCAATCACAGCAGAGCGTCTGGGAAGAGTTAAACCTGTGCATTCATCCTCAACCAATAGCGCGGCCCAGTGGACGTGGTTTGTGTCTGTCCCCGCCTCTTTATTATGACATCACAACTGTGTCTCAGAGCGCAGAGGCGAGTGGACTGTGTACGTTGTGTGTTGTTCATTTGGGGAGGGGGGCTGGAGACTGAGGGAACGGGTTCTGCTGTGCTCTTCAGACACCAGGCCCTGCTGAAAACTACACGAAACAACAATGGAGCCTGCCTGAGACAGTCCACTTGTATGTGTAAGTGTTTTGAGTGTCGCTGTGCGTGCACATGAATGGCTGTGCGGTCTGTGTGTTTGTGCGTGTTCAGTGGCAGTGAATGAGAGGAATGCTTTTGTTTCTGTCTTTTCAACAACACATCTGGTCAGAGTTGGTTTGAGGTCCAGGGACGTTTCATGCTTTGTTTAGTGTCATGTTCATGCGTTTAGTGCTTGATTGTTTTGGGGTTTCATGTGTGAGAGTGGGAGGAGGAATGTGTGCTTTGAGGGAAAGATGCCATTTGTGACCCTGGACCACAAAATCAGTCTTTAATTGCACAGTGTTAGGAATAGCCAAAAATATATTCAAAAAATATAGATTTTCTGTTATTTAGTTGAAGTCTGAATTATTAGCCCCTCTGAATTATTAGCACCCCTGTTTATTTTTTCCCCAATTTCTGTTTTATGGAGGGAAGATTGTTTCAGCACATTTCTAAGCATAATAGTTTTAAAAACCTATTTCTAATAACTAATTTATTTTATTTTTGCCATGATGACAGTAAATAATATTTGACTAGATATTTTTTCAAGACACTTCTATACAGCTTAAAGAGACATTTAAAGGCTTAACTAGGTTAATAAGGTTAACTAGGCAGGTTATGGTAATTAGGCAGGTTATTGTATAACGATGGTTTGTTCTGTACACTATCGAAAAAAATTAGCTTAAAGAGGCTAATAATTTTGTCCCAAAAATGTTTTTTAAGAAATTTAACACTGCTTTTATTCTACCCGAAATAAAACAAATAAGACTTTTTCCTACAAGACAAAATATTATCAGACATACTGTGAAAATGTCCTTGCTCTGTTAAACATCATTTGTGAAATATTTAAAAAAGAAGAAAAAATTAAAATGGGGGCTAATAATTTTGACTTCAACTGTATACTATACATATCATATAAATACACAATTTTTGATTAGTAATTTACATAAGCACTTTATTTTGAAAGCTTTAAAGTCTATTTTTTCAATATTTAGATTTTTTTTCAAGCCTCAGATTTAACATTTTCAAATATATGAGTCAACTATTGTCATATTCTAACAAATCATACACCAAAATCTTTTATTTAGCTTTCAGGTAGTGTATAAAACTAAATGGTTTTGGGCTGGTTTTGTGTTCCATGGTCGCACTTTTGTATGTTAGTATCCCTTTGTAATGTTTATGGATGTCAGAAGCAGTTACAGTGTGTGCATAACTATTATGCAGGTCGATATTCTTTTCATATATTGCCAATTCCACTACATCATTATTATTGAATACAAAATGAATAGTAGTTATGCATTAATAAATGATGTATAAATCAGAACTGCAGCCTACTTGAGTCTCCAGAAGTACACAGTGTCAGATTCTCAGAGACTTTGCTAAGGTGAAGAATTCTGATATAAGACCCCCTTGAGAAAAATCACAGACTGATTTTGAAAAGTTTCATGCACAGAGAGGTTGAGATCTTCTTAAGGTACTGAGGGTATAGTGAATAAATCATGGTGTGAATTAATACTAAGCAGGATGGACCAAAGATTAACTCTTAAATCTTATTTGCTTATATATATATATATATATATATAAGGATGGCAGGCTATATATAGGGCCTGGTTAGTAACATTGGTGCACTCACACTAATCCAAACCATGCCCTGGCATGTTTCCTGGTTCGTTTGATAAGTGTGAGTGCTCAAAATCGGGCCCAGGCGTGGTTCAGTTGGCAGGCTCTGGCCCGGTTTGGAAGAGGTGTGCCAGAACACAGTTTGTTTGGGCTTTGGCATGGTACGCTTGCAGTGTGAGTGCAAAGTGCGAAAGAGCCCGAAACTGAAGATGCGACGTCACTATTAAGAGACTGCTTCTTATGGGTTTATTAATCATTGTTACTGTTTAATGAATGCAAACTGTCATAGTTTATTAAAGATACAAACCCCTTCGCTCGAGGACTTTTATGATACATAATGAGCGTCAAAAGTTGTGAATCTGTTTGCCAAAATATTTGACTGTGTCAATGCATCCCAAAGGACTAAAGCGACATAGCTAAAGCAATGTCCACTGTGCTTATCGAGAGTGCTTCTCTTCCCGTTAAACTGAACAGTTTCATCATCGATGACGTAAGCGTGCTCCGGCTCGGAAGGCAAAATGCAGTGTGAGTGCAGGCCATCAGGGGAGAGGACAGGGGGAACAATCGCGCTTTGGCATAGTTCAAGGGAAACTACTGAAGAGGTCCTAAATGTGTTAATTCATGGATTCACAGCTAATTTTAAAATCTTTCAAATTAAATTTATAATTTCTCATATTCTCAACCTGATTTTGTTGTTGTTGCCCTGATACAGTATGAGTATTACTTGACTAGTGGCAATCCCTCCTTTTTGCTTATTAATTTTTTAGTAAATACGAAAGGATGAAATATTGGATTTATCCCTCTTTTTTAATATTTCGTTGTGATTAACTTTTTAATTTTGGCCTATTTTACTTATAAAAGGAACGCTGTTTATAGTAATAATGCACATTTAATATAAGGAGTTTTTCACTTATAGTTCTTGTTAAAAATGCATCGCATAATAATAATTAATTATATACAAAATAAATGATAGTCATTGAGATTTGCACTGTATGTTAGCAACGGAGTGTGTGAAAGGTGTATACACATGTACACAGTGGCGTGTGGGAGTGGATTGTGGGATCATTTTGTAAGAGGCTGCGTGACACAATTGCTGATTGTTGTTGCCTTCTCTTTTTTTAAACAATGACACGCAGTGTTTGGTTTCTCAATTGTGGCTGTATGTGGGTCAGGGTTTCTGACCAGGGGTCTGACCCTGCGGAGCCTGTTTTAGTGGAAAAGGTGGATTTATGTCAGTCTTCAGCCTTCAGTGTACTGGCTGCTCTATGTATGTGTGTTATGATGCAACAACACTCACTGAACACTTATTGAAAAATGTATTATGCAGTTTATTTGCATGCAACTAATTTAAAGGCACAACATGTTGCTTTTGAATGATAGATTGCTTTTAATTATACTATCATACAATCAAAATGATCATTGCAATTGGATCATTGGTCTGTCTACATTGCAGGGAAAAAATAAAAGAATGGTTAAAAAAATAAAGGACAAGTAATAAAAAATAATTAAATGAATAAAATAAAAATAATTTAAAATGAATAAAACAGTTTATTCGTTAACCCTTTGTTTATTTGTTTCATTAAAAAGTAATACTTTAAGTATAATCTATGAATGCTACTGTAACCAACCAGTAAAAATGTAAAAATAAATAAACCACTCAAACTGATTGAAATTAATAAATATTAGAATACAATATAAACAAATTTCATTAAAATTATTAATATGTATTTGAGTTAAATACAATATATAAATGAATACAGTACTATAACAGATAGCACGATGTAGTAATGAAACCTAATAGAAACAAACAAAATGATAATAATAATATAAGATCAAATTTGGGGTCCCCGAATCTAAAAAATGCAAACAGGATCTGTAATAGGTCTGTCCTAAAATTGGAGTATCAGTAAATTTTGGTTAGTCTGAAAATACCATACGATGTGACCTTTTAAAACAAGACAAGTGGTGTGACTTTCTAAAAAATATTTTTTTAACAATTAATTAATACTTTGTAATATATGTCAATTATTATATACAATAAACTAACTGTAAATACTATTTAAGAATGCTTTTCAAAATTAAATGTACACTTTACACAAATGCAAACTAGACTTTTTTTTTTTTTACATTTTGTTTTCTATGCACTCTGACAGAAAATGCCCTGCTCTTATATTCAGATGTGTTTATTTTAGATGTTTTAGTTAGTTTATTTTCAGATGTGTATCGTATATAAATATGCTTTGAAAACGTTTCAGTCACATGATCATTCAGTGTACATGTCGGTGTGTATGTGATTCCTGTTCAGGCTCTTCTTTCTGTGTTGTGGCACAAGAATCCCAGCCATCCGCTGCTGGACGTAACCCTTATTAAGCCGACCCAAGTGAGACATGTGGCTAAATATAGCCCACAAACATCAACACATCAAATCAGAGGGTGAAGGGGCTTTAGGGAAGGAGGATTACTGAGATCGGGTGAAGGGAACGGGTATCAGTTCTCTTGTTACCACCATCACTCATACATTCAGAACAAAACACTCACTGTCAAAACATGGCAGAGAGCAGAAGTGACAGACTGAAAGAGTGATAATGAAACACTGGTCAGCAAACTGATCAGACAGAGTTATTCCTGAGTTATGGGCCTTTTCATGCATGTTTTTAAATAAGAGATATTTCTCTCCCTTTTAATAAATATTTTTTAAATTAATAAATTGTAGATAATCTTGATATAGTCAATATAGAAAATATATATATATATATATATATATATATATATATATATATATATATATATATATATATATATATATATGAAGAGTTCAGATGCAAAAACCTCTAAATTCTCAAAAATTTTCCTCTAAAATTAGCATTTTTATCAGGATCTGATAGGATTTGTGTAGGTTCAATAATATCACTTTTATGGCAAAAAATAAATTCATTTACTGGTCTTTAAAGTGAAATGTCTTAACATAAACAAAGAAGGCTGAGAGAAATGTTCATTTTTTGACGGAAATTTGAGACTGCACTTAGAGGTCTTGCATCTGAACTCTTAATCTGAACTATATATATATTGGGCTAATAATTCTCACGTCAGCTGTGTACTGTATAGACGTTTTACAAAAATATTGCAAAAACATCTGTATTTCTATACTTTTTTGCAATAATTGCAATTAATTGCTATGCATTTCAAATAAAAACTAATTTAAGAATGATTAAAAACAATATTGTATTGTATTATTAGGTGTGATCTTATCCATAGCCTTAGTGATAAACAGAAATCTTAATATTATACTAATAAAGCATTACTAATAATATTTTTTAATACTTAAAATGAATTAACAATTATTTTATTATACAGTAACAAGTGTTTATAATCATTTTATTTAAGCATAAAAAGGGTATGTAGACAATAATCTGTGTACTACCATTTACAAACATTAATATAATTATTTATAAGGATATATATATATATATATATATATATATATATATATATATATATATATATATATATATATATATATATATATATATATATATATATATATATATATATATATATATTTAATTTTTTTAATTATTATTATAAATAGTGTAAAAAACAATAAATATTTTCTGCATGCTAAATAATGTATAATGTTTTATATTTAACAGGTGTGTATAACACAATCAAAAATAATGTGTATGTTGGCTGAGCAGTACACTTTATTTCACTAAATAATTAAAATAACATTAATTATTAATTGACCTTTTTAAAATGATAGCTGTGGGGTTAAATGTTTCAGAAAATTGCATTGTAATATTAATGCATTGCAATTGTAATATTACAAAATATTTATTTGTTTCACTGTATTCACCGTTTTTTGCTATATCTGCAAAAAATGCCCAGCACAATACCATTTATTTTTTTATGGTTGTTGATTTTGATGTTTAGCATGCTGCAGGTGCATCGTATATCTGTGGCCCAGTGTTAGACGCTGTCTTTAACATCCTGCCATATTACTTTTACCTCAGTTTTGTATCTCTTTGCCCGGAGCACAGCTAAAGTAAAAAGCGTCCCAGCATGCTCCTACATTGCAGGCGCATGTAATGGCCTCAGCAGTAGCTCAAGCTCTTGTATCAGCACTTATCTGCCCGCCCGCCCGCCGTTGTTGCGTCTCATCTGGAAAAGTGGCATGAAAATTGCCAGCATCTATTTGCCTCCACAACTCCATAATCCAATTTTCTGTGCTCTTCTCTTCTGATGAAACACTGTGTTCCGTGCCCTGCTGAATAATGATTATTTTCTTCTGTGAAAGTTGGTTTGGTTGCAGCTCAGCAGGTCTTCTGTTCACATTTTTCATTGGGATAGTTTTCACAGAAATGAATATAATGAAATTTACATTATTTGAAATATTTTTAGTCAAATCTAAGAAACTTCTGTTGAAACTCGTAGGTTAAACGGGGCAAAAAAGCAAAGTACAAACTGCAGATGAATTAAGTTCAGGTTTCTGTGTTCAAGCTTAGTTTGTACGCAAAACAATAATTTATGGGAGTGAAGAACACTTAATTAATCCCTAATTACACAGATTCTACACTGTGAACAGAACCAAGCTGAACAACTAGATGTTAATGATATACTTAAATATAATTAATTGGCTCTCTTTAGTTTTTTTGTGTGTGTGTGGAGCAAGAAATCACAGTGAACTTGAGTATTTAGGCTTATTAGTTGCTCAAAGAGGCACGTGCGCACATAGGGCTGAACCTGTGCAGTGCACATGCCCTTTTTTGTCTTGGATAGAAAGTGCTCTTCCAAAATGTTCAGAAGTGCCCCGCTCCACAACAATCCTCCCAAGCCCCATGGGACTATGTTTTTACAGTAAAAAGTTCATTATTAAATGTTACAAATGATACTGCATTAGTTAATATGATATAAAGCAATGTTTTCTTGATATTTTTAAATATTACAGAATTAATTAGGAAATTACCTATGGCAAATTTAGTATATACAGGTTTGGTATATTTTTTTTGTCCCACAGCCCTCAATCAAGTTAGCTTTTTGGCCCTTTATAGGAAAAAGTTTGGGCACCCCTGATGTAGATGTTCATTTTCTGCTGGTGATAATCTTGCCCTAAAAAACTAAATGAAAATAGTTATAAAAACAAAACAAAAACTAAAAACCTAGTATATACTTTAGGAACGGTATAACAGATAACTTTGGTGGTTTTAAAACCTTAACTTTTCCAAACCACGGTAAACCTTGAAACAGGTTACCGTCCCATGCCTACACCTGACTCATAATTCAATAGGATTCACAATACTAATTTCAAGATTCAGTCACGATTTTTTTAAAATAAAAATGATCTGAAACAAATTTAAGGTGTAGAGTTCTTTCATTTTTTTCTTAAATGCTTCACATTTCTTCAAAATGTAATATATTTTCTGCCATGACTAAATTGCTATTTTATACACAAAATCCCCAAAAATTATAATAATATTACAAACTAAAGAAGACTCATCAATATAAACAAACGAAAACTGTGACTGTGCTGAAATTTTACATATTTTTGAAAATGTCAGCATATTTATGTTTTCTGGCGTAAGCTGAGGTCTTTGCACATTTAACCTGTCCCTTGCTGAAGAAAAAAACTCTTTCGCAGGGGGCTGAGTTGGCTGGTGTGGTGTGGAGTGTGTACAGAAGTGGTCAATAGGCTCTCTGCACCAGGGGACTGACCACTGGCATAAAAATACTGATCATAAAATTACTAATTATATAGTAGCATAGAGACAGGAGTTGAGCATGATTATGTAGGTGAATATTTCATATTACTTGTATAATTAATAGTAAAAGTATCAGTTTGAAGAAGAAATAATCTTGAAGGTGTTAAAATATTTAATAATAATAAGAAATTATTTAAATATACATGAACTAATTTAAAAAGGAGAGGGTAAAAATTATCTAATACCTGCTTCTACAGCAGAACTTTTTCTTTCAGTCTGAAAAACATCTTCACATTTCGCTATGAAAACACTGATGCATAGTTTGATCTCTGTAGAACTTGGAGCAATCCTCCGGTCCAGCTTTGTCTTATTAATAGTTTTTTTTGTGTATAGATGTCTGTGACATTAGTTTTCACTGTGCTGATGGTTTATTTGCATCCTATTTGTTGTTCTGTTAGCGTAAGTAAATTTTTTTTTTGCAGTAATCTCACAGTTTGAATTTTGTCTGGTTCAATTCACCACTGTCATTTTACTCTTCCAACCCAAATCTTACTTGCCGCTGGTGTGTTTTTTTTATCAAATAAATGTTTTTGTTAACTCATCATTTTGTTCTTTTTAGGTTAAGGTTTGTCCTGGCCCTCGGCCACGTCTTTGGATGTCTGTCACAATGGCAAAGTTTGAGACCGGCCGCACAAGCCCAGTGGTCCGTCAGATAGACAAGCAGTTCCTGGTGTGCAGTATCTGTCTGGACCACTACCACAATCCCAAAGTCCTGCCCTGCCTGCACACCTTCTGCGAAAGGTCTGTATCTGTTGCCACTTTGATTGATAATTAAAGAGGGAATGAGGAATTATAGGAAGAAGATTCAGTAATGAGTCTCAATTGAACTCGTATACTTAGTGGCATTAAGCCTATTAAAATGAGTAATAAGGATCTTGTAATAGCGCCCTCAGTAATTGAAGCATGAATCGGCAGTTATCCTTTTTATAAGATGGCATATGAACTTTGAATACTTGCTTCTGACAGAATTTGGCACGGATGGGGACTCTGCACCTAGAACAGTTTTGACATGAGATGTGCGCAGTTTGACAATGAGACTCTCTCTGTTTGTTTTGGGCTTTGTATGTCAGTGGATGCTTTCCACTGTGATTGTCCGTGTTGTGACTGAAATTTCAGCAGCATTTGCCCTTCTTTTACTTTTGCTGTGTCTAACAGGAGGATCTAATTTATGAAATGAGACCTACTACTATAAGGATGTTTGGATTTGGTCTAAAAACAAAAAAGAAATTAAAACATTTTAAAAAATCTTAAACTGAAAGGCTGCATTTATTTTCTTAAAATATTTGAATACATTTTAAAATGCAGTTTATTCCTGTGATTCAAAACTGAAATTTCTGCATCTTTACTCCAGTCTTTAGTGTCACATGATCAACAAACTATTATTATTATTGTCATTAATAATTAATTAATTAATTAATTAAAATAAAGTTTTTTAGATGTTAGTATCAGTATTGTTAGTATATTGTTAGTATTTAAGATATCTAAAAGCTAGTGTGCTCCAAAACAGTGATAAATATCGCATTTTGAAGTTATGAAACGCATATAAACATGTGAAGGTTGTAGTTTGTCACTTCCATTTATGCCGAGTTCAGACTGCATGATTTTTGCCCCGATTTTGACTCGCCGACAGATTTTAAGAAATCACA